TTTTTAGTAGAGTCAGCCTTTCACCATGTTGGCCAGGCTGGTCTCAAACTCCTGGCCTTAAGTGATTGGCCTGCCCAGCCCTCAGAAAGTGCTGGGATTACAAGTGTGAGCCACCACACCTGGCCTATTTTTAACTTTTTGATGAATTGCCATACTGTTTTCCATAGCTGCAGCTCCATTTTAAACTCCCAGTAGGAGTACACAAGGGTTCCAACTTCTCAGCATCCTCGCTAACACTTGTTATTTTCTGTGTTGATTACAGCCATCCTAATGAGTCTGAGGTGGCCTCTCCATGTAGGTTTTCTTTTTTTTTTTTGAGATGGAGTCTCACTCTATCACCCAGGCTAGAGTGCAGCGGTGCAATCTTGGCTGACTACAACCTCCACCTCCTGGGTTCAAGCAATTCTCCTACCTCAGCCTCCCGAGCATATGGGAGTTCAGGCATGTGCCACCACACCCAGCTAATTTTTCTATTTTTAGTAGAGATGTGGTGTTATCATGTCGGCCAGGCTGGTCTCAAACTCCTGACCTCAAGTGATCCGCCCACCTCGGCCTTTCAGAGTGCTGGGATTACAGATGTAAGCCACCATGCCCAGCATCTCCACATGGTTTTGGTTTGTTTCCCTAATAATAGTGATGATAGGTATCTTTTTATGTGCTGATTGGCCATTTGCATCTCTTATTTGGAGGACTGTCTATTCACGTCCTTTGCACGTTTTTGAACTGTTAGTTGGGTTTTTGTTGTTGCATTGTGAGAATGCTTTATCTATTCTAGATGGGAACTATTTCACATGTAATTTGCACATCTGTCCTGTCATTCTGTAGGTTGCCTTTTCACTCTGTTAGTAGTATCCTTTGATGCAATCCAATTTGTCTACTTTTACTTTTGTTGTTTGGGCCTTTGGTATCATATCCAAGAAATCATTGCCAAAGGAAGCTCTCCTTCTATGTTTTAAGGGTTGGCGGCTGGGAACGGTGGCTCATGCCTATAATCCCAGCATGTTGGGGGGTCGAAGTGGATGAATTACGAGGTCAGGAGTTCAAGACCAGACTGACCAAGATGCCCCGTCTCTACTAAAAATACAAAAATTAGCTAGGCATGGTGGTGGGTGCCTGTAATCCCAGCAGTGAGCCAAGATCACACCACTGCAGTCCAGCCTGGGTGACAGAGTGAGACTCCATCTCAAAAAAACAAAAGTTGTATAGTTTTAGATCTTGCACTTGGGTCTTTGATTCATTATTGAGGTTTTCTTTTTTTTTTAACATGATATAAGGTAAGGGTTTAACTTCATTCATTTGCCTGTGGATATCTAGTTTTCCCACACCATTTGTTGAAAGACTGTCCCTTCCCTGATTGAAAAGCCTTGGCATCCTTATTGAACTCCTTTGACCGTGTGTGTAAGGCTTTCCTTCTGCACTCTGTAGTCCATTCCACTGGTCTCTCTGCATGTCTTTACTGCCATACCACACTTTTGACCACTGTAGCATTTAATAATACATTTTGAAATTTGGAAGCAAAAGCCTTCCAACTTTGTTATTTTTCAAGATTGCTTTGGTCATTTGGATCCCTTGAAATTGTGTATAAACTTTACACAATTTATAAGGATGGATTTTTTTCTGTAATTGAAGAAAAAATGTCACTGAGATTTTGAGAGCAATTAAATTAAACCTGTAGATCACTTAAAGTCATATTGACATCTTAGTGAAACTAAGCCTTATAATCTATAAATATGAGATGACTTTACATTTGTTATACAACCAGTCTCTGGAACTTTAAATCCTGTCAGACTCTTTGCCTCCTGGTTAAGTTTATTCCTATTTTATTATTTTTGATGCTATTGTAAACTGATTTTTTTCTTTCTTTTTCTTTTTTTTTTAAAGATGATGTTTCACTGTATTGTGCAGGCTGGAGTACAGTGGCTATTCACAGGCATAATCATTATAAAAACTGACAGCATTGACCTCCCAGGCTCAAGCAATTCTCCTGCCTCAGCCTCCCAAGTAGCTGAGACAAAAGGGCTCCACAACCAAGCCCAGCAGGAACTGTTTTCTTAATTTCCTTCTTGGATTGTTGACTGTTAGTGTTAGAAATGCAACTGACTTTTGTATGTTGATTCGTAATCCTGAAACTTGGACAAATTATTAGTTCTAACAGTTTATTTTGTACAGTGTTCAGGATTTTCTACAAAGAAGATCATGTCATTTGTTAACAGAGAAAATTTTACTTCTTCCTTTCCAATTTGGATGCCTTTTCTCTTTCCTTTCTTCCTTAATAGCTCTGGCTGGGATTTTCAGTACTGTGAAAGCAGGCATCACTGTTTTCTTCCTCATCTTGGAAAACTTTGTCTCTCATCATTGAGAATGATATTAGCTGGAGGTCGTTCATACCAACTTTATTATGTTGAGGTTGTTTCAATTCTAGTCAGTATGTTTGTAATCATGAAAGGATATTAAACTTCATTGAATGCTTTTTCTGTACTAATCGAAACAAATTGTCATGTGTTTTCTTTCCTTCATTCTGCTAATATGATATCTTACATTGATGTTTATATGGTAAGCACCTTTACATTCCAGAAATAAATCTCACTTGATCATGTTGTATAATTCATCGATGATGCTGTTGAATTCTCCTTATTAGTATTTTCTTGAGGACTTTTGCATCTGTATTGATCAGGGATAGTGGTGGGTTTTCTTCTGCTGCTTTGTCTGCCTTTGGTATCAGTAATGTTGGCCTCACAGAATGAGTTTGGAGGTATTCTTTCCTCAGGATTTTGGAAGATGAGCAGGATTGGTATTGGTTTTGTAAATGTTTGGTACAAGTCACCCATGAAGCCATCTGTTCTTGTACTTTTCTTTCATGTCAAGTTTTTGGTCACTGATCAATCTCCTTGGTAGTTATAGGTCCGTTTTTCCATCTTCTATTTCATTTATTTCTGTTCTAACCTTTATTATTTCCTTCCTTCTCCTAGCTTTGAGTTTAGGCTGTTCTTCTTTTTCTAATAATTTAAGGTACAAAGTCAGGATTTTGGTTTGAGAGCTTTTCCTTTTTCTTTTATTTGACAGAGGGTCTTGCCACTTGCTGAGTTAGTCTCAAACTCCTGGGCTCAAGCAGTTTCTGGCCTCAGGCTTCCAAGTAGTTGGGATTATATAACAGCGTCACTATGCCTGGCTGCTGCTGCTTTGTGTGTGTGTGTGTGTGTGTGTGGGGAGTTGGGGGAAATGGAGTCTAGCTGTGTCGCCTAGGCTGGAGTGCAGTGGTGCAATCTCTGCCCACTGCAACCTCCTCCTCATAGGTTCAAGTGATTCTGCGGGCCTCAGCCTCCCAAGTAGCTGGGATTACAGGTGCCTGCCACCATGCCTGGCTAATTTCTATGTTTTCAGTAGAGACAGGGTTTCACCATGTTAGCCGGGCTGGTCTTGAACTCCTGACATGAGGTTATCTGCCTGCCTCAGCCTTCCAAACTCCTGGGATTACAGGTGTGAGCCACTGCCCCGGCCAGCTTTCTTTAATGTAAGTATGTACAGCTAAAAATTTCCCTCATAGTACTGCTTTTGCTGCATCTCATAAGATTTGATACATTTTGACTCAAAATACTTTCTAATATTCCTTATTATTTTTCTTTGATCCATAGTTTTGTAGTATGTTGTTGAATTCCCATAGATTTGCGAATATTCCAGTTTTCCTTCTACTATTATGATTTCAGTCATTTAAAATGTATTAAATCTTGCTTTGAGGCCTAATATATGATCTTTCCCAGAGAACATTCCACATGTACTTTGAAGAATGTGCATTCTCCTGCTGGTTGAACTCATCTGTGTATGTCTGGTAGGTCCAATTCGTCTATAGTATCGTTCAAGCCCTCTGTTTCCTTCTTGATCTTTTGTCTGGGTGTTGTATCCATTATTGAAAGTGAGTTATTGGGCCAGGCACAGTGGCTCATGTCTGTAATCTCAGCACTTTGGGAGGCCAAGGCAGGTGGTACACTTGAAGTCAGGAGTTTGAGACCAGACTGGCCAACATGGTGAAACCCTGTCTTTACTAAAAATATAAAAACGTGGTGGCGGACACCTGTAGTCCCAACTACTTGGGAGGCTGCACCACTGTACTCCAGTCTGGAGGACAGAGCAAGACCATGTCCCAAAAAGATAATAAAAATTGTCTTAATTTCTTCCTCTTTTTCTTATGAGAGTTCATAAGATGCCTTTATGTTGAAACTTACAACCACCTTTTAATTTGTCCTTCAAAATTTAACTGTAATTGGTGACTGCTTTTCTTAAATACTTCACTGTGTCCAAGAAAGGGGAAGTATTTAGCCCTTGATTAAAAAATAATAATAAACCCAGCTGGACACGGTGGCTCATACCTATAATCCCAGCACTTTGGGAGACTGAGGCAGGCGGCTCATGAGGTCTGACGTTTGAGACCATCCTGGCCAACATGGTGCAACACCGTCTCCACTAAAAACACAAAAAAATTAGCTGGGCATGGTGGCACATGACTGTAATCCCAGCTACTCAGGAGGCTGAGGCAGGAAAATTGCTGGAACCCGGGAGGCAGAGGTTGCAGTGAGCCATGATTGTGCCACTGCAGTCCTGCCTGGGTGACATAGCAAGACTCTGTCTCAAGAAAAATAAAAATAAAAAATAAACCCTAAGAGGAAGGGAGAGGACCTTAACTGCAGATAATAGCCCATTTTTACCCTGTGGTTATAAATCTTCTGAGTTGCTTGTCATCCCAGATGTTCTGCTGATGGCTGTAGTAGCTGACAGTTTTTTATTTACATAGTCAGAACAATGAGTGCTTCTGCTTGATTCCCAGATTCTCCAAGCTTCCCGTGGAGCCACACCACCTCCTGTCTTGGCATTCATGAGTCCAAGGCTGCTTCCCGAGCAGATCTGGTTGGTAGACCATAACATTGATTCCTGCCTCTAAGCCTCACTTTATCCTCAGCAGCCACCGCCTTTTTGGTACTAGAAGAGTGCTTTTTACAGTGCACTCATAAGTGGATGCCGAAATCACAACCTGGCCGTTTGGATGTTCAACTAATGCTTTATGCCGTGGAGTCCCTGGAACTCAGCAACCCATGCCGGAACTCACTGGAGCTCAGGTGTGCAGCACTACCTTATGTCTCTATGGCTGGGAGTGAAAACAGTGTTCATGCATTTGTTTCCCATTTGTTACTTTGAAGGTTTTGTTCTGTGAGACAAGGTCTCACTCTGTCATGCAGCCAGGAGTGTAGTCATGGCTCACTGCAGCCTTGACCTCCCAGGTTCAAGCCATCTCACCTCAGCCTCCCAAAGTGCTAGGAATACAAGCATGAGCCACTGCACCTGGCCTACCTTTGAGCTTTGAGTTCTTTCTGTATTCTAGAGATGAGTCTCTGGAGATGAGTCCTTGGTCTCATAGGTGGTTTGTAAATGTTTTTTCCAATCTGTAGCGTATCTTTCCCTCTTCCTAATTGAGTCTTTCAGAGAGCAAAAATGTGGTCTCCCTTGCAAATACTCTGCCACTGCAGCAGGAAGGCAGACACAGATAGTACGTAAATGAACATGTGGATGTGCCCCTTCGTTAAGTGTCCACTTGTGGTCAAGAGATCTCTAGACAGATCAGTGCTGAGAGATTATTTCATTAAGTAATAGTTGAGCTGGGGATCAACTCTAACCTCATCCTTACTTTCTCTTACTCCACTGTCTTCTGTTGCTGCTGGTGGGAAAGCAATTGTCAACATGTTCTTCCTTCTTTCCACCCTCCTCAGTAGCTTTTAGGACATTTTCTTTGTCTTTTCTGCGATTTTGTTTTGATGGGTCTAGGTATGGATGGATTTATTGTATTGGGGATTGTGCCTCCTGACTCTAAAGTGCCCTGGGTCCTGTTTCTGTTTTCATTCTTGAATTTTTTTTTTTTTTTTTGAGACAGACTCTCACTCTATCATCAGGCTAGAGTGCAGTGACGAGATCTCGGCTCACTGCAACCTCCACCTCCTGGGTTTCAGCATTTCTCCTGCCTCAGCCTCCCGAGTAGCTGGGATTATAGGCGCACACATCCAAAACCGGCTAATTTCTGTACTTTTAGTAGAGATGGGGTTTCACCATGTTGGCCAGGTTGGTCTTGAACTCCTGACTGTAGGTGATCCACTCATCTTGGCCTCCCAAGTGCTGGGATTACAGGGATGAGCCACCACACCCAGCCTGGAACTTTTGAGACATGTTGGATCCTCTCATGTCATCTGCCCTTTGCCATATTTTCCAATTGATCAATTTTCTCTTCTGCTGTTGAATTTGTTAAGTTTTAAATGTCTATGAATGGCAGCCACTATTTCTGGCATCTGAAGCTCTTGGAAGTCCACGCCTCTTGTTGCCACTGACTTCTATGCTCTTTTAGTGGGGCTTTGGCTGTGGCAATCATATGCAGCACTGTCTGAAGAATCTCAAGGTAGCTAGTGTTAGAACTGAATTAGAGGTCCACCCTGGTAGTGGGGACAAACCCCCACACATCTGCTCACAGAAGTCATCTTCTGTGATGAAGATTTTTGCGGTATGAGAGCAGAGGGAAAACAGGGGCTGAGCATTGTCCCTAAATGGTGGTGGACATTCAAATCCCTAGTGAGGCCAGGTGCGGTGGCTCATGCCTGTCATCCCAGCACTTTGGGAGGCTGAGGCAGGCGGATCACCAGAGGTCAGGAATTCATGACCAGCCTGACCAACACGGCAAAACATCATCTCCACAAAAATACCTGCCTGTATTTTTGCGAGGCTGAGGCAGGAGTATTGCTTGAACCTGGGAGGTGGAAGTTGCAGTGAGGCAAAATTGTGCCACTACACTCCAGCCTGGACAGTTCATAAATAAGACAGATAATCGACTCACAGTTCTACAGGCTGTACAAGCACAGCTCCAGCATCTGCTTGGCTTCTGGCGAGGCCTTAGGAAGCTTACAATCACAGCAGAAACAGGAGGGGATGCAAAGACAGAGAGGAGGAGATGCCAGGCTCTTTATAAACAAACTGCTCTCATGTGAACTAATAGAGCAAGAACTCACGCTTCACCAAATGGAGGGTACTAAGCCATCCATGAGGGATGTACCCCCTCTAACAAACGTGAGATTTGGAGGGGACACACATCCAAGCTGTGTCAGGCTGTAAATGTTTTGTTTTGACTCTTAGCTTCTTGAATGACAATTATTTGTCCTCCCTGGCAAGAGAGAAAGAGACGGGTTTTCCCTCCGGCTGGAAGGCAGATGCCAGACGGGGCAGAGTGCCAGCTGGCTGGGGAAGCTTACCACACTGTGGAGGAGGGGCCAGGGACACGAAACTGGGAGCACACAGGTGGATGTAGGTGGCCACCAGAGTGCAGGCAGGCTGGAGCTCCCAGGTGCCACAGGGGTCCTGCACACACAGGCTGAGGAATGGTGCAGGGTCCACCTGAAATCAGGGCCACCTAGTCACTGTCCCTGCCCTGGGAAGTGGCATGGAGGAGGGAACTAGGCTAGATTGGGGAAAGGGCTTTCTGTGCCCCACGGGCCAGGCTCACACTCACCACCCAGAAGCAATTCCCCAAGCTGGAGTGGGGGTCCTGGAGGAACGCCCGGCTGGCGGGGCTCTGTCCTGGGCAGGGCTGCTGAGTCTTCTTCGTGGCCCCGCAGTCACCATCCACCTGGTGGGACAGACACAAGACTCAGGCCTCCCACTGGACCATGTGGCTCCCCCACATACATCGGCCTCAGCAGGAGACTCCCCCCAACCCTGGGCCTGCAAAGACTGCTGCAGAGCCAGCAGGCCACCTGCCTCTCCTGGGACTCTGCAGCGAGCAGCCCTCAGGAGCCTCAACTGGAGGGAGGAAGGGCAGGTGCACCTGCTCACCTGTCAGTCCACGCTGAGCTCCTCCAGGTTGCGGGCCACAGAGCCGTCCGGCAACATCGGCTTATTGCCTGCTTCATTGTCATTTGTGCCTAGAAGGCCGGTGGATATGCCTGTGGGGAGGAGGGAAGCTGAGGAGGTCCTGAAAGCCCGTCATCCTCCCCCAGGGGGCCTCTATGAGAGATGAGCCTGATGCACACCGAGGAGTGGTAGAATCCTGCCTCCTGGAGCCCAGGGCTCTAGCACCAAACCCTCATCAGAGGAGGGAGAGAACACAGGGACTGAGGACAGCGTGTGTCCCCCCAACCCCTCCCCATGTCCTCAGCTCAAGTGGCCGGAATCCAGGCCTGCCATTTGTGTTTCTTGGCAGAGGGACCACAGAAGGGCCAACTCCACCCTGGAGCCACATATCCCAGGGATGAGAGCAGAAAGCCCTGGGCGTCAGTGCCATCATTTCAACCACAGCCACCGCCTACAGCCCGGGGACGTGTCGCACTGGAAGCTGAGAAAGGTGCATCCCGAAGAGGCTGTTGGTGGTGGGGCCAACCCCGCCGGAGCCCAGACTCACCGTGGTGCCAGAGGCCCAGAGTCAGGCTGCAGAGGCCAGTGGGCACGTCACAGGAGATGGAGACCCCCTTCCTCACTGGCCAGCTCAATCCTGGGGATGTCCCTCCTTGTCATGGCAGGAGGCAGCTGGGGGTCTGGACAGCTCTCCCCCGGCATGGAGGAGTTGTACTGCCTGTAGGCCTGTGGGCCAGAGCGGGTGGGCAGGAGAGCTGACCCACAGACAGGGGACAAGCTTGGAAGGGCCGTTCCCTCAGGTGACCTGCCACAGGCACAGGTCTCCAGGGCAAGCTCAGGCCTCTCCTCCTCACCTGCAGGCTGGGGTAGAAGATGAGGGTCATGTGGTTCAGCTCCACAGTCAGGGCCATGAGCCCCGAGCCTGTCTGACTCAGCATCAGGGAGAATGTGTTGTGAGCAAAGCCTTGGGCCAGAAGGAAGCTGCTGCACTGGGCACTGAGGTCCCACACCCAGCCGTCGAAAGTCAGCACATGCTGGGCCCCGGCCACCAGGGCATGGTCTAGGGAGAAGCAGCCCCAAAGGCAAGGTGAGTGGGGCCAGCTCCACCCACCACAGTGGGAGCCCAATGCTTACTGGGCACCCCGATGCCTAGAGCCCCAGCTTAGGCTGCCCTGAGGCCAGGAGTCCCTCTCCCCTGGTGCAGCAGCCAGAGGCCCAGCAATCCCCGCCCCCCCCCCCCACTTCAGGATGACATGAGCTGAAGGGCTACGAGGAATCGAGTCCTGAGACCCACTACAAAACTGCTGTGCTAAGTAACAAAGCCTGGCTCAGAGGCCACAGTCATACCTCTGTTTACATCAGATGTCCAGAGCAGGCACAGCCATGGACACAGCAGGCAGACTGGCAGCTGCAGGGTTTCGCTTTAGGATGATAAAAACGTTTTAAAATCGATTGTGGTGAGACATGCACAACTCTGAATAAACTAGAAGCCACTGAATCATGCACTTAAAATTCACAGATCGACCAGGCACAGTGGCGCTAAGCTGTCCCAGTGCTTTGTGGGGCTGAGGCAGGAGGATCGCTTGAACCCAAGAGGTCAAGGGTGCAGTGAGCCGAGATCGCACCACTGCACTCCAACCATGACAACAGAGACCTAGTCTCAAAAAAACAAAACAGCAACAACAAAAAAAAAACAGATGATACAAGTCATCCGTTTAATCTCAAGGAATCTACTGGGGGAAAAAAGACATTAAGTGGATGGCCAACGGCTCCCTCAAACATGACAGCGGTGTCCTGCAGACCTGCCCTCTTCAGGGTAGGGAAGAGATGGCCTGTGAAGGAGGTCTGACCAGTCCAGCCAGTGCGGCCCCTGAGCTGTGCCTTGGGGGTACTCGTGCCCGTGGCAGGGAAGCACCATCTATGGTGCACAGCCAGACACCTGTTGGCCAGGGCCAGCATCCCGAGGGAGGCACTACCAGCCCTGTGGTCAGCTGTCAGAACTGAGGGGCACAGAGAAGCCCATGGTCACACACACAGAACTTGAAGACCAGGCTGTTTTCTACAAGATCAGTGTGCTGCTTAGACCTGACTACACCCACACTTCTAGGGAGCCCTAGGCCTCCATGTGAGTCCCACACAGATAAACCACTCCTTGCCAAACCTGGGTACCATGGCTCCCCCATGGACCTGAGGGGTGCCCTCATGCATTAAGAACAGTACATGCCTCTTACCCATGTGAGTGAGCCACGTGGTTACCTGCATTTCATAGTGGAGGAATCCAAGTCCACAGAGGTCAGCAGACTCACCTGAGCCACACACAAGCTTGCTAAAAGCCCAGAGCCAGTCATCCCAGCACCGCCCTTGGCTGCAGGTTGCCCCTGACCGGCGAGTCTTGACTCAATTAGTGCCTTTCCAGCTGTAATGGGAGGTCTGCCTTCTGCTTCAGCAGAGCCCACAGAGAGGGAGCTGGCCTGAAGCCCTAAACAGCCCACTATACTCCTCTGCTGGGCCAGGCCTCATATTCTGGACAAAAGCAGGATATGCAGCCTCAGCCCTAGTCCCTAGGACCTTGGGAAGTCCAGTAAGCTCTGGGCCTGGCACTGTGATGCCACGAGCATCTGCAGGCTTCCCTGTACCCCCACAGTACCTGCCCCTGCATGGCCCTGCTGCTGTGCCCATGGGGCAGGGGGCTCCCAGGGAGGAGGGCAACACAGCCCGGGGCAGGACTCACACTCCCAGGGACTTTGCAACACACGGCGTCTGAGCCGGTAGAACTCGGCCAGCACGTTGGTCCTGGACAGCTCTTGGAGCGGCTGCAGCAGCTTCTCCACCAGGTAGCTGGTCACCCGGGCCACATCCAGGGGCTCATCCCCCCAGGCAGCAGTGGCAGTATCACCACCACTGAGTAGTTCCTAGAAGGAACACACAGGACAAGTCGCTGTGCCTGGCCGAGCCTTGCTTCCTTTGGCTGCAGAGGGGGAGCTTTGCCATGGACAGCATGGGGGGTGCCTCTCGGGGAGGGGCTGTCCTTGTTCTAGGAAATCCCATATCGAGGTGGAGGAGGACAGAGGCCGGCATGACAGCGGAGGTAGGGGATGAGGCCGGGACAGAAACAAGCTGCCCTATTTTGAGGACACAGATGTCTGATGTCATGCCTGATTTGCCCCCTGGGTCTTGGGCAGCATGGGGCCTGTGTGTGGGGATGCCAAGGAGAGGAGCTGGAAGGTGTAGGAAATTGTTTTGTTTTTTGAGACAGAATCTCATTCTGTGTCACAGGCTGGAGTATAGTGGTACTATCCTGACACTGTGACCTCTGCCTCCTGGGTTTAAATGACTCTCCTGTCTCAGCCTCTGGAGTAGCTGGAACTACATGTACTCACTGCCATGCCTGGCTAATTTTTGTATTTTTAGTAGAGTCAGGGTTTCACCATGTTGGCCAGGCTGGACTCGAACCCCCGACCTCAAGTGATCTGCCCAAAGTGCTGGGATTACAGGCATGAGCCACTGTGCCCAGCCAACAGGTCTAGGAAATTTCTACAGTTGAGGGGGGGCCTGGAACTTCCTCAATATGTAGAGTAGGGTCAAGCCTGTGAGATCTGAATGATCAGGAGATCTTGGCTCACCTGGGGGTGTAGTGGCAAGAGGAACATTGCTCACTCTGTTGTTGGGTCAGTAGAGGGGGTGCAGGGGCAGGTGGCCTCACGTACCTTCTAGGGAGTCCAGAGGCCCTGCAGGCAGCTGGTGGCAGAAAGCAGCCTCAATGCCCTCCCTGCCAGTTGAATCCATTTTTTGGCACCCCCACTAGATCCCACTGACCAGGTAGGCGAACAACCAGGCAGGTGATTCTTCAACCAAGCCAAAGCCCTGCCCTGGGAGCTCTTCCCTTCCTCAGCCTACATTCTGACCTCAAGGCAGCAGGAGCAGGAACTTGTATTACATGGAGCCTCTTCCCCATGATGCGGGTTTAGTCCCTGTTCTACAGCTGGGGAAACTGAGGCACACAGAGCCGACGCAGAGGAATCCCAGTTAGAGGCAGAGCCGGAGTCCAGACGCTCTGCAAGGCCACCAGCATGGAAGAAGTCACCTATCTGCTTGAAAAGGGGATAGAGGTTTTAAATCTTCTCCCCAGGATGGAGGAGACAGACATAAAACTTCAACAAAATGACAAGGGCTTCAAGTGACTCACTAAGTTCCATCCAGGTACCCTTTGGTAAGAACCCTTGAAAAGCACCTACTAAGATGAAAATTAGCCTGGATAACATAGTAAGACCCAACTCCACAAAAAAAAAAAAAAAAAAAGAAAAAAGAAAAAAATAGAAGGGCATGGTGGCGCAGGCCTTAGTCCCAGCTACTTGGGAGGCTGAGGCCAGAGGATCACTTGGGCCCAGGAGTTCGAGGCTGCAGTGATCTAGGATCATGCCATTGCATAGAAGACCTTGTAAAAGAAAGTGGAAAGTGGGGGAGGGAGAAAAGGGGGGAAGAAAGGGGGAAAAGACATGGGGGAAAGGGAGGGAAAGAGGCAGGAAGAGGAAAAGAGAGGGAATAGAGGGAGGGAGAGAAAGGAAAGAAAAGAAAAAAGGAAGAAAAGAGAAAAGAAATGAGAAAAACATATAAACCTTGTGGACAGGGAATTCCACTGTTAAGAATTTACTCTGCAGAGAGAATGGTGTTCACCTCAGAATAATTGTAAGAGAGGAAACCTGGGAAAATCTCAAGAGCACTTCATTATGAAACTAGCTGAAAACATTCCATTCCGTGGACTATTACGTGGTCATTCACACTACATGGGAGACGCTGACTTTTTTTTAAGTGGATATATTAACTCCACGTGCTGATTGTGTGCATAGATCATCTCAGAAAGGAATCACCAAAACAACCCTAACAGTGGTTAGCTTTCAGGAGGGGTGGGAGAGCGGCTTTAAGGCTGCACCAGCACCAACCAATAGAGCTTTCTGCAATGAGGACCATGTTTCCGGGCCATCTGCAGCTGTGGAGCACCTGACATATGGCCCATGCAGCCAAAGAACCAAATCTTTCATTTTCTTTAATGTTAATTCGTTTAGATTTTTTTTTCTTTTTTGAGATAGAGTCTCGCTCTGTTTCCCAGGCTGGAGTGAAGTTGCGTGATCTTGGTTCACTGCAACCTCTGTCCCCCAGGTTCAAGCAGTTCTCCTGCCTCAGCTTCCCAAGTAGATGGGATTACAGGGGCTTACTACCACATCTGGCTACTTTTTGTGTTTTTAGTAGAGATGGGGTTTCACCATGTTGGTCAGGCTGGTCTCAAACTCCTGACCTCAGGTGAGCCACCTGACTTGGCCTCCCAAAGTGCTAGAATTATAGGCATGAGCCACCATACTCGGCCTCACTTAGATTTCAGTAAACACATATGCCACTGGATGCCATATGGGAGACTCAGCTCTATACTCTTTCATAGCTTTTGAACTTTGAATCATTTAAATGCATTGCCTATTTTTTTATTTGTAGAACTTAATAGACTAGTATTTAGATTGTATTAATTTAAATGAATTCTACAATAGAATTTAAATTGTACCAGCAAATGCTGATATATAAAAAGATTGCCAAGGTGTGTGTGTGTGTGTGTGTGTGTGTGTATTAACTGTGTGTGTGTATTAACTGTGTGTGTGTATATATATATATATATATAAGTATGTATATTTCTTCTTTTTTTTTTTTTTTGTCAGAGTCTCGCTCCGCCACCCAGTCTGGAGTGCAGTAGTATGAACTTGGCTCACTGCAACCTCTGCCTCCAGGGTTCAAGTGGTTCTCCTGCCTCAGCTTCCTGAGTCACTGGGATTACAGGCACGCACCACCATGACCAGCTCATTTTTGTATTTTTAGTAGAGAAGGCGTTACGCCATGTTGGCCAGGCTGGTCTTGAACTCCTGACCTCAAGTGATCCACCTGCCTTGGCCTCTTAAAGTGCTGAGGATTACAGGTGTGAGCCAGCATGCCTAGTCACAAAGGTGTATTTTTGAGTAAAAAGGCCAAGGTACAAACAAAAAATAGGGAAAAGCTGGGCACGGTGGCTCATTCCTGTAATCCTAGCACTTTGGGAGGCTGAGGTGGGAAGATCACTGGAGCACAGGAGGTCAAGGCTGCAGTGGGCCATGTTTGCACCACTGCCCTCCAGCCTAACAGAGCAACACCCTGCCTTAAGAAAAATTAAAATTAAAAAACCAAAACCTCAGCATGACGATTGTGTTTTCATGCTATTGTATGATATGTACCTTCCTCAAAACTTGTTATGATATCATCACATCACCCATCTGATGTGAAAAAGAAAAAATAAAACCCAGAAACTCAAACTAAAAATTCTTGCAAATCTATAGCGTTATGTGTTGTCCTGTGTCTCCCTGAAAGACGCTGAAGCCCTATGCCGCAGGGTCTGTGGATGGGACCTTATTTGGAAATAGGCTCTTCACATGTGATCAAGCTAAGCTGAGGTAATGAGGGTGAATCCTAATCCCGTGTGCCTGGTGTCCTTATAAAAAGGGATGTGTGGACAAAGACACCTAAAAAGGGAAGACAATGTCAAGACAGAGAGAGAAGGCCACCTACAAGCCAAGGAACTCTGGAGGCTGTGAGAATCTAGGAGCGAGACCTGGGACAGACCCTCCCTCACAGCCTTCACAGGAAAAACAAACAACCAAAACCCCATTGATTTCAGATTCCCGGCCTCCAGAACTGTGAGAAATCTCTGTGGTTGAAGCCACACAGTTTAGGGTACTTTGTTAAGGAAGTGCTGGGAAATGAATGCAGAGTTCTTGGGGCATGCATCAACACGTCTGCAGGAAATTTGGGACATGGCATGCTTGAACTTACAATTCATAACTTTCTCTGCTCTGAATTCTTTTCGTGAGAGACAGGGTCTTTCTGTCACCCAGGCTGGAGTGCAGTGGCACAAGCATGGCTCACTGCAGCCTCCACCTCCTGGGCTCCAGCAATCCTCTTGCCTCAGCCTCCTGAGCAGCTGAGACTACAGGCACATGCCACTATGCCTAATTTTTAAAAAATGTTTTGTAGAGATGGGGTCTTGCTATGTTGACCAGGTTTACCTGGAACTCCTAGCCTCAAGTGATCTTCCCACCTTGGCCTTCCAAAGTTCTGGGATTACAGGTATAAGCCATTGGAACTGGCTTGCCTTTTTAAAAAAAAAAAAACAAAAAAAAACAAAAAAAAAAACAGAATCTTGCTCTATCACCCAGGCTGGAGGGCAGGGACATGATCTCAGCTAACTGCAACCTCCACCTCCTGGGTTCAAGTAATTCTTTTGCCTCAGCCTCCTGAGAAGCTCGAATTATAGGTGACTACCACCACACCCAGCTAATTTTAGTATTTTTATTAGACACGGGGTTTCACCACTGGGCCAGGCTGGTCTCGAACTGCTGACTTCAAGTGACTCACCCACCTTAGCCTCCCAAAATGCTACGACCTTGGCTCACTGCAACCTCTGCCTCGTGGGTTCAAGCAATTCTCCTGTCTCAGCCTCCCAAGTAGCTGGGATTACAGGTTCCTGCCACCATGCCCAGCCAGCTTTTGTACTTTTAGTAGAAACGGGGTTTCACCATGTTGGCCAGGCTGGCCTTGAACTCGTGACCTCAGGTGATCCACCTGCCTCAGCCTCCCAAAGTGCTGGGTTGACAGGCATGTGCCACTGTGCCCGGCCTACTTCTATTATTATTACATTGTAATATGTAATGAAATACTTACACAACTCACCATAACATAGAATCAGTGGGAGCCCTGAGTTTGTTTTCCTGAAACTAGACGGTCCCTTCTGGGGATGACAGGAGACAGTGACAGATCAACAGGCATTAGATCCTCATAAAGAGCTCACAGTCCAGCTCCCTCACATGTGCTGTTTACAGTAGGGTTTGCGCTGCTATGAGACTAACACCGTCACCACTGATCTGACAGGAGGTGGAGCTCAGGCCGTGATGCCAGCAATAAGGAGTGGCTATGAACACAAATGAAGCCTCCCTCGCCCGCCCGCTGCTCACCTGCTGTGCTGCCTGCCCAGTTCCTAACAGGTGAGCCGGGAGCGGTGTAATCCCAGTGCTTTGGGAGACTGAGGCGGGTGGATCACCTGAGGTCGGGAGTTTGAGACCACCCTGACCAACATAGAGACACCCTGTCTCTACTAGAAATACAAAAATTAGCCTGGCGTGGTGGCTTATACCTGTAATCCCAGCTACTTAGGAGTCTGAGGCAGGAAAGTCACTTGAATCCGGGAGACGGAAGTTGCAGTGAGCCAAGATCACACCATTGCATTCCAGCCTCGGCAACAAGAGCGAAACTCCGTGTCAAAAAAAAAGAAGACCGGGCGCAATGGCTCACACTTGTAATCCCAGCACTTTGGGAGAAGGAGGAGGGCAAATCACCTGAAATAAGGAGTTTGGGACCAGCCTGGCCAACATGGTGAAACCCTGTCTCTACCAAAAATACAAAAATTAGCCAGGTGTGGTGGTACATGCCTGTAATCCCACCTACTTAGGAGGCTGAGGCAGGAGAATTGCTTGAAACTCAGAGGTGGAGGTTACATTGACCCGAGATGGCACCACTGCACAGAGTGAGACTCTGTCTCAAAAAACAAAAACAAAAACAAAAACATGCTACAGACTGCTACTGATCCGTGGCCAGGAGGATTGGGGACCCCAGCTGTAGACAATATGTAATGATCAAATCAGGGTAACTGAGACAGTCATTCCTCAAATATTTGTTTTAGGAACATGAAAATCCTTCTCTTCTAGCTATCTTGAAATATTCAAATAAATTCTCATTCACTGTAATTTCCCTTGTGCACTATTGATTACTATAACTTATTCCTTCTATCTAGGCCTTCTTGTCTCTCATTCGTTCTTTTTTTTAAAAATTATTTTTATTTATCTCTGAGACAGTCTCTCTTTCTGCCAGGCTAGAGTGCAGTGGCGTGATCTTGACTCACTGCAACCTCCACCTCCTGGGTGCAGGCAGTTCTTCCTCAGCCTCCTGAGTAGCTGGGATTACAGGTGTGCACTACCATTTTTAGTAGAGATGGGGTTTCACCATGTTGTTCATGCAGGTCTCGAACTCCTGACCTCAAGCAATCCACCCACCTCAGCCTCCCAAAATGCTGGGATTACAGGCATGAGCCACAGCACTTGGCCATTCATTCATTCTTACATTCATTCCTTCCACTAATAACTACTGCCTGGTTATCATATATCCGGTGGGGTTCCAGGCTCTGGGGAAACAGCAATGAGCAAAACAAAGTTGCTGCTCTCTTAATGGATTCATCATTCTAATGAGGGGGAAAGAGACAGGAGATCCATAAACAAACCATTAACACAGACAGCACATCAGATGGAGAGCGCTATGAAGAATAAATACTAAAGCAGGTGCAGCCAGGTGCGGTGGCTCACACCTGTAATCCCAGCACTTTGGGAGGCTGAAGTGGATGGATCCATTGAGGTTAGGAGTTCAAGACCAGCCTGGCCAACATGGTGAAATGCCATCTCTACTAAAAGTACAAAAAAAAAAAAAAGAGCCAGGCATGGTGGCACCTGCCTGTCATCCTAGCTACTCAGGAGGCTGAGGTGGGAGGATTGCTTGAACTCGGGAGGTGGAGGTTGCAGTGAGCTGACATTGTGCCATTGCACTCCAGCCTGGCGAACAGAGCAAGACTCTGTCTTCAAAAATAAAAAAGAGAAATCAGGTGCAGGTAGAGTGCACTAGCACGAGCAGGGGTGCTGTGGTGGTGGAGAAGGTGGTCAGGAAAGGCCTCTCTGTGAAGGTGATAGACATGAGGGCTGAGCCCGGGGACTCCTGGGGAGAGCAGCACCGCAGGGCTCTAGGTGTTGGTGCCATTTGTGGTCCTTTCGTTTTGTTTTGTTTTTGAGATGACATCTTTCTCTGTCACCCAGGCTGGAGTGAAGTGGCACAATCTTGGCTCACTGCAGCCTCCGCCACCTGGGTTCAAGCCACCTCAGCCTCCCAAAGAGCTAGGATGGCAGGTGTGAGTCACTGTGACTGGCCTATGTATCGACATTGTTAAATTTTTCCAAAAGCTGTGATTTAGGCAGGTTGTTTTGACAGCCATCCAAAATAAATTACAGAATGGCAGGACAAGGATCACGTCAGTGACAGGGCGGCTGTGGACATCTGCTGGCCAGCAGCAGGGAAGCCACTGAGACCCCGGATTCTACCTCTGCAGCCCACCTGCACCTGAACCCTCGTCCCCACATGTAGAAGCCTGGAACTCTCAGAACAGCAGACCTCATCAGCCGCTGCCACCTTCACCAGAACGATGTGATTAATTCGTTCATGCAGAAGACTGCAGGAACCCCGAGAGAACAGGATCCAGAATGTGTGGGTTTTGATGGACAGGGTGGTAGGATCTGGGAGGCTCCACCTACCTCACCTCCTGACCTCCATACTCCTTCCCCAGTCCTGCTCGGCATAGAGACTAGAGTGACATCACCAGAAATGTAGATGCTTGGAAGGACACCAGCGACACGGAGAAGAGGAGGCCAGAGGTCCGCAAGGTGCCCAGCTCCTGGCCTCGGATGCCCAGGACTCTGTCCAGAAAGTCTCCCTCCCAGCCATGGAACTTGATGGTCCTCGAGTCCCTGAGGATGGAGCTGGTGAGCCGGGCCCGTGAGTCCTTCTGCCTCATTTGCTCTCCTGGGATTGGAGGGAAGAGAGAGATGAAGACACAGCTGGTCCAGAATTCTCCCCTGCACCCTGACAGTCACCCTACAGCAAATCCCACTGATCTCACCAAGTGCGTCCCAAAGCTGTCTGCCTCTCCGCATCTCTGACCCTCAGTCCTGATCCATCCACCATCATTCTGTGCCTGGACTACTGCAGGAGCTGACCCGGGACCACTGCCCTGGGGAGGCAGCTTCTGATGCCTGGAGAACAGAGGATGCCTCTGAGCCCACCTGGGTATGGTGCTGATGATCAGGAAGGCTACCTGGAGGTGGGTAATATCTGAGCTACATCTTTTTTTCTTCCTTTCACATTTTTGGTGGAGTTGGGGAGGGGTCTCACTATGTTGCCCAGGCTGGCCTCAAGCTCTTGGGCTCAAGTGATCCTCTGCCCTCAGCCTCCTAAAGTGTTGGGATTACAGCCTGAGCTACACATTAAATGACCAGGAGGTGGGTGCCGGGCAGGCAGAGGATGCGGGGGTGGAGCTGGGAAGAGGGAGGGGAGGCTTTGAGACAGGGGGCAGCATGCCTCGGAGGACACAGTGTGGCCAGAGGAGTGCGTGGGCAGGTCACTTGGCACTTTAGGGTCAGGCAGGAGTTTGGGGTCTCCCGTGCTTCACTGGGGGACGGGGGCATCATCAGAAGGCAGGTGCCTGGAGAAGGGTTTTTGTTACTTTTTGAGATGGAGTCTTGCTTTGTTACCAGGCTGGAGTGTAGTGGCGCAATCTCAGCTCACTGCAACCTCCGCCTCCTGTGTTCAAGTGATTCTCCTGCCTGAGATTCTGGAGTAGCTGGGATTATAGGTGCCTGCCACCATGCTCAGCTAATCTTTGTAGTTTTTAATAGAAATAGCATTTTGCCATGTTGGCCAGGCTGGTTTTGAACTCCTGACCTCAGGTGATCCACCTGCCTTGATCTCCCAAAGTACTAGGATTACAGGCGTGAGCCACTGTGCCTGGAGGAGGCCACACAGGGGGCTGGAGAAACAGTCCAAGTGGCAGATGGACATTGGGACAGCTGGGCCTAGAGAGGAAATAAGTTCTTCCCTCCATCCCCCTCCCTCCCTCCCTCCCTCCCTTCCTCTCTCCTGCCCTTTTTCTTCCCTCTCTTTTTTCCTTCCCTCCCTCCCTCCTCCCTCTCTTCCTTCCCTCCCTCATTCCTTCTCTTCCTCTTTCAACTCTTTCCTTCCCTCCATCTGTCCTCCCCTTTCCTATCTGTCCTTGCCTCCCTCCTCTTCACTCCTTCCCTCCCTCCTATCTCCCCTTCCTCTCTCCTCCCCTCTTCCCCTCCCACCTATCTTCGGTAGTTCTCAAACCCTGATCCAGCACCTTCTGCATGCCAGCACTAACTAGTTACTGAGTCTGCCACAGGGAGTGGCCCCTGCTGCTGCTGCGGAGCTTCCAGTCTAAGGAGAGCGAGGCCGTCAGCCCCTGCCAGGCACTTCCTGCAGGCCCTTTAGGAAGTGGGAAGTGCTGGGGAAAAGCAAAATGAACCCAGGACAGGCCAAGGAAGAAAGCTGCTGGGAGGACAGGGATGGGCGGGCCGTGTCCTTGCTGGACGGTGGTGAGGGAGGCAGCCCTGACTGCAGGGGCTGCTGGAGGGGACAAGGGTCTTCTGGAGGGAGGGTGGTCCAGGCAGAGGGAACAGCTAGAGCAGATGCCTGGAGAGATGTGTGAACATCAGGCAGGTGTGGGGATGGGGAAGGGGGGTAGATGGGAAAGGAAGGGAGACGGGTGGAAGGTGAGGCTGGAGGCAATGAGGCAGCTCAGGGCAGGCCTGGTGGGCCACTGTGGGGCCTTTGGCTCAGACTGAGGAAAATGGGGCCGCTGTGGGCCTGAGCAGAGGAGGGTGCAGTGGATTCAGCTCACGCAGGGTTCCTGTGGCTGGAAGTAGAGAGAGGCTAGGGCAGAAGTAGGGAGTGAGCCAGGGCCTTGCTGCTGGATGCATTTTTACGGTGATGCCAAGCAAATCTGCTGATTGATGGGGTGCAGGAGAAAAAGGCATTGATCTGACCCAGGGCCTGGGGCCTGAACACTAGAGGGAGGAGTCGCCATCCATTGCGATGGGGAATGAGCGGGGCAGGTCTACACAATGGGCAACTCACAGAGACAAGAACAAAGCCAGACCCCTGGCTCCCACTCAGCTCTCCCCTGCCCATCGCTCACACCAGGGCCTGTGTCTCCCTCCCTACTGCCTGCCTGCTCCATCCCTTTCCCAAAAGCCAAACCTAACAGTGATTCCTCTTCTTGGTGATGAAGAAATTCAGAGGGAGGAGGCTCAGGAAGACAGCAATGGCAGTGAGGGCAGAGGGGACAGAGGGCACAGAATGTCAGATTCCCAAGGAACCCAGCTGCCAGAGGTGTGTGAACCACAGCAACTCCATCTTGAATAGGAGCTGGTTAAAAGGAGGCTGAGACCTACTGGGCTGCATTCCCAGGCGTTGAAGGCATTCTAAGTCACAGGATGAAACAGGAGGTCAGCACAGGATACAGGTCACAGAGACCTTGCCGATACAACAGGCTGCAGTAAAGCAGCCAGTCCAAAACCCACCAAAACCAAGATGGCCAGGAGAGTGACCTCTGGTCGTCCTCACTGCCACATTGCCACCATCACCATGACAGTTTACAAATGCCATGGCAACATCAGAAAGTTGCCCTGTATGATCTAAAAAAGGGGAGTCTTGAACAATCTACCCCTCGTTCAGCATGTCATGGAGAAATAACCCTAAAGATGGGCACCAGTGCCCTCTGGGCTGCTCTATGGAGTAACCATTCTATCTTTACTTTCCTAAAAAACTTGCTTTTTCAGGAAAGAATAAACTTGCTCTGTGGCTCACACCTGTAATCCCAGCACTTTGGGAGGCTGAGGCAGGTGGATCACCTGAGGTCAAGAGTTCGAGATCAGCCTGGCCAACATGGTGAAACCCCACCTCTACTAGAAATACAAAAATTAGCCAGGTGTGGTGGTGAACACCTGTGATCCCAACTACTTAGGAGGCTGAAGCAGGAAAATCACTTGAACCCGGGAGGTGTATGTTGTAGTGAGCCAAGGTCACGCCACTGCCCTCTATCTAGCCTGGGCAACAGAGTAAGAGTCCATCACAAAAACAAACAACAACAAAAAAAACAAACCTAAAAACCAACCAAACAAAAAAAATGTGCTTTTGCTTTATGGAGTCACCCTGAATTGTTTCTTGCACGAGATCCAAGAACCCTCCCTTGGGGTCTAGATCGGGTCCCCTTTCCTGTAACACAGCTGCAGATCCTGAAGGGGGTCAGACTTGGGTCCTAAGATGCGGAGTCAAGGAATGTGATAAAGGCAGCCACCAGGTCCCAGGGATCTGGGCTCAGGGGGGTCTGCTAGGTCAGGAGGCACCTGCTGAATACAGGGTCCTTCAATGTCAGGGAGGGGAATAACCCACTTACACAATTGGGAGAGGGTTATATTCAAGACAGAACATGCACACACAAGGAGGACTGCGGGGTGTTCCTGGCCACAACAGTGAAATTGAGACCGCTGGAATCAGGACCCGGGTTCAAATCCTGACTCTGACACTTGTGACTGTGGCCTTGGGGCAAGTCACCTTCCTAATGTGCAATTCCCTTGTCTGCACGATGGGAACAGTTATCCTCATTTTGCATGTTTGCTTATTACATTTAATGATTTTCCTAATCTTCATTTTACCCTCGTGAGGGTTGTCAGACTTAGCAAATCATCATACAGATGCACAGTTACCTTTGAAGACAAAGAGTGAATAAGGTTTTAGTTTAAGCCTCGTGCATTATTTGGGACATACCCTGAGAATCCGAAATTCACACTTCACTGGATGTCCTGTGTTTTCTCTGGGAACCCTACTTCCCACCGACGTGGTGCTTTTGGATAGTTATCTCTCCCCTCTCAGCTTTGGTTTCTATTTCTGGAAAATGTGGAAGTGGGGGGTAGAATAAATGATTTTTAAGTTGCTGTGACTTTCTGAGAGTCCTTCACAGGTTACTTGAACTCATTCTCTCGCCAAGCCCCACCCCAACTCCAGTCTGCATGCCTCAGTTTCCCCTCTCAGTCCTTAGGAATACTATCTTTTTTTAAATGGAGTCTTGCTTTGTTACCCAGGCTGGAATGCAGTGTCACGATCTTGGCTCACTGCAACCTCTGCTTCCCAACCAATTCTCCTGTCTCAGCCTCCCAAGTAGCTGGGATTATAGGCGTGCATCATTATGCCTGGCTAATTTTTGTATTTTTAGTACAGACAGGGTTTCACCATGTTGCCAGGCTGGTCTCGAACTCCTGGCCTCAAGTGATCTACCCATCTCAGCCTCCCTAAGTGCTGGGATTACAGGTTTGACCTACCCCACCCAGCTTAAAGAAAATAGAAGACTTTTATTTTCTAATCTTGAGTCAGTTTGTTTCACTTATGCAGCAATGGCGCCACCTCGTGGCTCCATGGAGAAGTGCCCTGAGGGTAAACCGCCCACAGCAGGGGTTGGAAAAACACTCAAGGGAATCTGACAGAAGATGAGCATCTCTCTCTGGGGAAAAAAATGGTTCATTAAACTGTAGCAACCCCAGTATCTACCCCTCCTTCACCAGGATCTCATGGTGATGTTAGGAGCTGTCTACCAAGAGGCAGGAAAAGTGCACAGGGAAAGTGACACAGTGCATTATCTGCAGATATCTTGGTCTCCGATTTTTTTTTTTTTTTTTTTTAAGGTGGAGTCTTGCACTGTCCCTCAGGCTGGAGTGCAGTGGTGTAATCTCATCTAACATTCTCCTGCCTCAGCCTCCTTAGTAGCTGGGATTACAGGCGCCTGCCACACCACGCCTTGCTAATTTTTGTATTTTCAGTAGTGATAAGGTTTTGCCATGTTGTCCAGGCTGGTCTTGAACTCCTGACCTCAAATGATCCAGCTGCCTCAGCCTCCTAAAGTGCTGAAATTACAGGCACAAGCCACCGCGCACAGCCTGGTCTCCTCTGATTTTAGCTATGATGGTGTCAACCTGATCAATTGCCCTGAATTTTCCCATGTTCTTCCTGTCTCCATCTCTTTCTTCCTAATGATGACATGTATGCACTGCACATCAAGCACTGTCTGAGTGCCTTCTATTGCATTTGCTAAGCACCTATTGTTTGCAAGGCCCTGGAATACAAGGTGAAGGAATTAGAAAAGGTCCTGGCCCCTAGTCCCGGCAAAAACAATCATATGCATGTGCATTTGATTTTTTTTTCAAGTATTCAATTATAATAAAAATGCCACTAACATTTTTCACAAGGCCAGGCACAGTGGCTCACACCCGTAATCTCAGCATTTTGGGAGGCATAGATAGGTGTATCATTTGAGGTCAGGAGTTGGAGACCAGCCTGGCCAACATGGTGAAACCTGGTGTCTACTGAAAATACAAAAATGAGCCAAACCCAGTGGCGCATGCCTGTAATCCCAGCTCCTCAGGAGGCTGAAGCTGGAGAACTGTTTGAACCCAGGAGGCGGAGGTTGCAGTGAACTGAGATTGCACCACTGCAATCCAGCCTGGGTGATGTAGCAAGACTCTGTCTCAAGAAAATAAAACATGTTTTACAATTTTTAGAAAGAGGGTCTTGCTCTGTCTCAGAGCTAGAATTCAGTGGTGTGATCACAGTTCACTGTAACCTTGAACTCCTGGGCTCAAGGGATCCTCCTGCCTCAGCCTCCCAAGTAGTTAGTACTATAGGTTCACACTACCAACATGCCCAGTTAATATAAAAAAATTTTTTTTGTAAAGATAGGATCACTTGCCCGGGCACGGTGGCTCATGCCTGTAATCCCAGCGCTTTGGGAGGCCGAGGCAGGTGGATCACAAGGTCAAGAGATCGAGACCATCCTGGTCAACATGGTGAAACCCCGTCTCTACTAAAAATACAAAAAATTAGCTGAGCATGGTGGCGCGTGCCTGTAGTCCCAGCTACTCAGGAGGCTGAGGCAGGAGAATTGCCTGAACCCAGGAGGCGGAGGTTGCGGTGAGCTGAGATCGCGCCATTGCACTCCAGCCCGGGTAACAAGAACGAAACTCTGTCTCAAAAAAAAAAAAAAAAAAAAAAAAAGATAGGATCACTCTGGTTGGTATGTTGCTCAGGCTAGCCTTGATCTCCTGGCCTCAAGTGATCCTCCCACCTCAGCCTCCATATGCCGTTATACCCTAAATGTACCTAGCCAGGGCTTAGTACTTAAATGTACTTAGCCAGGATCACCTATACCTGTGATCCCAGCACTTTGGGAAGCTGAGATAGGCTGATCACTTGAGGCCAGGAGCTTGAGAGCACCTGGCCAACATAGTGAAACCCCATCTCTACTAAAAATACAAAAAAAATTACATGGGTGTGGTAGTGCCTGTAATCCCAGCTACTAGGGAGGCTGAGGCACAAGAATTGCTTGAACCTGGGAGGTGGAGGTTGCAGTGAGCTAAGATCAAACCATTCCATCAGCCTGGCCAACAGAGAGAGACTCTGTCTAAAACAAACAAACATCTAGCCAGGGCTCTGGAAACCATGGCATACAGTATCTACACAGGAGACATAGAGATCCCACCACCTGTTTTTATACAGCCCATGAGCTGCCCAAGAATGTTTATTGGTTTTATATTTTTAAAGACTTGACAAAAATCAGGCTGGGAATGGTGGCTCACACCTGCAATTTCAGCACTTTGGGAGGCCGAAGTGGGAGGATCACCTGAGGTCAGGAGTTGGAGACCAGCCTGGCTAACACGGTGAAATCCCATCTCACTAAAATACAAAAATTAGCCAGGCCTGGTGGCACACACCTGTAATCCCAGGCTATAGTGCAGTGGTTCGATCTCGGCTCACTGCAATCTCTGCCTCCTGGGTTCAAGCAATTCTCCTGCCTCAGCCGCACAAGTAGCTAGGACTACAGGTGTGCACCACCATGCCTACCTAATTTTTTTGTATTTTTAGTAGAGATGGAGTTTCACCATGCTGGTGAGGATGGTCTCGATCTCCTGACCTCATGATCTACCCAACTCAGCCTCCCAAAGTGATGGGATTACAGGCATGAGCCCTGGCTTTTTTTTTGAGACACAGTCTCACTCTGTGCAGGTGCAGGCTGCGCTGAGCTCTGACTGTACTACTGCACTCAGGCTGGAGTGCAGAGGTGACATCATGGCTCACTGCAGCCTCCACCTTCCCGGGATTCAAACAATCCTCCCCCCTCAGCCTCCCGAGTAGCTGGCTATAAGAACGTGCCACCATGCCTGGCTAATTTTTTTGTGTTTTTTTGTAGAGACTGGGTGCCCTTATGTTATGCACGCTGGTCTCAAACTCCTGGCTCCAAGCAGTCCCCCTGCCTTAGCCTCCCAAAATCCGGAAGTCCGGATATTACAGCTGTGAGCCACTGTACTCAGTCTGTTTTATCCCTACAAACGGATTTTTTTTTTTTTCGCTTTTGAAGACAGGGTCTCAGTCTGTCATCCAGGCTCACTGCATCCAGGTGTGGCTCACTGCAGCCTCCACCTCTCAGGCTCAAGCAGTCCTCCTGCTTCAGCTTCCCAGTAGCTGGGACCACAGGTGCACCACCATGCAAGACTAACTTATTTTTTGTAGAGTTGGGCTTTCACCCTGTTGCCCGGGCTGGTCTCAAACAGATGGACTCAAGTGATCCTCCAGCCTCAGCCTCCCAAAGTGCTGGGATTACATATGAGAGCTGCCAAAGCCAACCTGTTTTATTGCTTATAGTAGTCACCTGTATTAGAAGACATTCCGTTGTGTTCAAGCCCCTGGCTGATCAAAATCTCCACTGCCATCCCTCTCAGCCTGCTGATAGAGAAGACTAGTGGGGGTTGTGTTGCCTTTTCTTTTTTCTTTTGAGATGGAGTCTCGCTCTGTCCCCCAGGCTTAAGTGCAGTGGCGTAATCTAAGCTCACTGCTACCTCCATCTTCAGGGTTCAAGTGATTCTCCTGCCTCAGTCTCCCAACTAGCTGGGATTACAGGCACATGCAACCATGCCCGGTTCATTTTTGTATTTTTAGTAGAGCCAAGGTTTTGCCATGTTAGCCAGGCTGATTTTGAACTCCTGACCTCAAGTTATCTGCCTACCTCAGCCTCTCAAAGTGCTGGGATTACAGGCATGCACCCCCATAACTGGCAGAAGGATCAGGTTTTCTCATTTTATTTTTATTTTTTATTTTTTAGATGGGGTCTCACTCTGTCACCCAGGCTGGAGTACAATGGTGTGGTCTCGGCTCACTGCAACCTCCACCTCCCGGGATTCTCTGGCCTCAGCCTCTTGAGTAGCTGGGACTACAGGCATGTGCCACCACACCTGGCTAATTTTTGTATTTTTAGTAGAGATGGGGTTTCACTATGTTGGCCATGATGGCCTTGAGCTCCTGACCTCTGGTGATCTTCCCACCTCGGCCTCCTAAAGTGCTGGGATTACAGGCATGAGCCATTGTGCCTAGCCATGGGTTTTCTTGAACCAAAGCATATAACTTGTCATGTTTAACAAAATTGTGCCCCAGCCCTGTACTTTCCTTGATTCATCCTCCTTTGAATAGCGAACCTCTCAAAAGCTATAAGGAACACGGAAGAGCCACTGGCCAGGTGGGCTGGGTGGTGGGGCTGGGGTCCCAGCAGTTGGCATCCCCTTTCCCAGGATGTGCACGGGGCCTCATGTACCCTGTCCTGTTATCTCCTAGGTCAGCTCGTCGACAACGTTTGGGTGAAAAAAGATCAGACCTTGTTTTCTTCCATGTTCGAAGCCAATATCACCATCCACAACATTGCTGTCAGTGCATGCCTGACCCACCAGTAGCCTGGAAATATTTAGACCTGGTTTATTAACCATACACCTGCCAGACCCAATCCAGCCAAAATATGAAATTGACCAGACACAGTGACCCACACCTGTAATCCCATCACTTTGGGAGGCGGAGGTGGGTGGATCTCCTGAGGTCAGGAGTTTGAGACCAGCCTGGCCAACATGGTGAAACCCTGTCTCTACTAAAAATATAAAAATGAGCCGGGTGTGGTGGTGCACACCTGTAATCCCAGCTACTCGGGAGGCTGAGGTGGGAGAATCACTTGAACACAGGAGGTGGAGGTTGCAGTGAGCTGAGATT